TAGGCACTGAAGATGTACGCTGAATAAGATAGGTTAGATTCCTTTTTGTGAACTATAACATGTACCCCTCCCAAATGTTCTATTGATGACAGATTCCTATCATTGGGTGCCTTGTAATTTTGTATTCTTTTATCACTTCTAAGGTCAAGCTCCATATGGTTAACTTTCCTCAGTTTAGAGACATTGGACATGCTTCCCATCTTCTGTGGAGTTTCTAGTGCCTAAGAGGGGTCAACTGCCTACTAAAGTTTCTCCTGTGTATGCTACAAGTATAAGGCTGCTTACCTGTGTGAGTTCTCTGGTTTTTAATGAGGTGGGATTTGTGAATGAATCTTTTCCACAATCATATTTAAAGGGCTTCTCTCCTGTATGAATTCTTTGGTGTGTGTGTAGATTTGTGTCATGACTGAAGCTTTTCCTACGCCATGAGGATCTGTATGGGTTTATTCCTTGATGTGTCATGAAGTGCCTATTAAGATCTGAACTCCATCTAAACCTCCTGTCACATTGTTGACGTTTTTAGGGTTTCTCTTCAGTGTGAATTCTCTGGTGCTTAATAAGATCAGAGCTAACTCTGAAGCTTTTCCCACAGTCCTGACATTTAAAAGGTTTCTCTCCTGTGTGGCCTTTTCCATGAAGATCCATAAGTTTTGGAAGCTGTTACTTACAAGTTGTAAGTTTCTTTCTTCTTTGGAAAAGCTTGATGCCATTCTTGTACCCTGTGTGTATCACCATGATTTTCCCTGCCCATTGTTTTCTGGGCAATTTTCACTCTGGTCTTTTTTGATACTTTGCATCCTGGTGTTTGTATTTCAGATGCAGAAACAGATACAGGATAATCATTTCCAGGGTCATTTTTTAGCTTTAACCCTAGAGAGATGACAGTCTCATAGATATATCCTGCATTACATCATTGTAGAGTCTTCTTAGGAGGATCCGATAATTGCCATTCTTCCTCAGAAAAGTACACAGCTACATCTTCAAATGTCAACCAACTATGGGACTCAGGCCAGATGAGCTCAGATGCTGTCTTCCAGTCTTTGGTGCTTTTCTGCCCAGAAAGGGCTAAAATGTGTTGGACATGCATAGCTCTTTCATATACAGGCTGGGTTTGTGTGAGAGTATTCCAGCCCAGCTGTTCTTGTAGTACCCGGTATGTATTTCAGTATTCTTTTTGGAACAGACCCATTGGTTGGGGCTTTGCTGGCTTCCACTTGAAGCCTGGGGCCCACTGCTGTTCCTCCCAAGAGCACTGCCTCCTTTCCCAGCTCATGGGCTGCAACCCCATTCTTTGTTTCACCAGGTTCTCTCTGCAAGTGTTCCACCAGGACCAGAGCCTTTTTGACATGCTGTGGATGATGCTTCTGCACCCAGTTCTGGGTCTCCTTGGGCTGAATGGTCAGGAACTGCTCTAGCACTACCATTTCCAAGATCTGATTTTTTAAGTGGCTCTCTGGCCTCAGCCACTGATGGTATAACTTCTGAGGCTGGGGCTGGACATGGTGGTCCCATGTGCTATAATCCCAGCACTTTGGGAGGTTGAGGTGGCTGGATCATGAGGTCAGGAGTTAAAGACCAGCCTGGCCAAAATGATGAAACTCCGTCTCTACTGAAAAATGAAAATTAGCCAGGTGCAGTGGTAGGCACCTGTCATCCCAGCTACTCAGGAGGCTGAGGCAGGAGAATCGCTTGAACCCGGGAGGCAGAGGTTGCAGTGAGCCAAAATTGCACCACTGCACTGCAGCCAGGGTGACAGAGTAAGACACCCTCTCAAAAAAAAAAAATTTCTGAAGTTGGTTGATAGCCTTAAGCGGTCCAGTTGCTTCATAATATTGGAAGCTCCAGAAGTTCCTGCGAGCACTGGTCAGAACCAAGACTCTCTATTTGTGTGCTGTATTTTGTACTCTGACTGGAGTTCTCTTTCACAGACCTATTAGTCTCCCACACAGCCCCCATATGGGAGTTCAAGCATGCATCTGCCTTCAGCTCTCTCATTATCATTGGCTCTAGGAACAGTTTTACTCCTGTGTGTGACATTGACACCCACCTGGTGCCACCTTTGACAAATGAGGGTGCATCAGGTTTGGTACAAAATCAATGAATAGACCTTTTTCCCAAGGACATGTCAGTCAGCTCTGGCTTCCCTGGAGGCCACTTTCCTCTTCCTCTGCTCAACTGTGCCTCTGTTGCCACACCTCACTGCTGCTCTGGGCCGTGAAGCTCTCCGCTCCTGCGCCACTGGAAAGCGATGTCAGGAAAGCACACGATGCCTGGCAAGTGAAGGTCCAGGATTTTGGGAGCCTTGGAAAGGGCCTTAGAAGATCACTTCCCCCATTCAATCCCTCCACCTCCTGGAGACCTTACCCTGACACCATTTCTAGATCGAGGTCTGTGGCCATTCCTTCATTGAATTAATGAGACAGGGTCTGGCTCTGTCATCCAGACTGGAGTGCAGTGGCACAATCTAAGCTCACTGTAACCTCTGCCTTCTGGGCTGAAGCCATCCTTCCACCTCAGCCTCCCAAGTAGCCTGCATTATAGGAACACACCACCAAGCCTGGCTAATTTTTGTATTTTTTTTTTTTTTTTAGTAGAGACAGGGTTTGCCATGTTGCCTGGTCTCGAATTCCTGGGCTTAAGTGATTTGCCTGCCTTTGCCTCTCAAAGTCTTAGGATTGTACATATGAGCCACCACACCCTGCTGAGACCCCACTTCTTAAAAAAAAAATGTAAAGAAAAAGACGTTGTAGCTATGCTGTTCCTGTGTTTTAGTGTTTGAATTAATGAATTTTTTAATCTTATGCCTACTTTTCCTGGAAATGGTAGTATTCCCTACTTGCCAGGCATGACTTACAGGCTTCTCTGGAAGATTTTTCTTTTTTTTTTGAGATGGAATTTTGCTCTTGTTGCCTAGGCTGGAGTGCAATGATGCAATCTCAGTTCACTGTAACCTCTGCCTACTGGGTTCAAGTGATTCTCCTGCCTCAGCCTCCTGAGTAGGTGGGATTATAGGCATATGACACCACACCTAGCTAATTTTGTATTTTTAGTAGAGACAGAGTTTCACCATGTTGGTCAGGCTGGTCTCAAACTCCTGACCTCAGGTGATCCACCCACCTCTGCCTCCCAAAGTGCGGGGATTACAGGCATGAGCCACCGTGCCCGGCTTGAAGATTGTTTTCCAAGTCAGACAAAGGATACACTAAATGTGTTTTCTTAAAAAACGTTAGCATAGGGAATCTGAAAGGCCACAAACCTTCACCATGAGTAAACTAATCCTGGCTCATAACCTCTAGTTTTGATCTCATACTGTTGATTTTTAATGGAGTTCCTTGTTTTAGTAACAACGTAAATGCTTTCTGCTCCCAAATCTGCAGGGACTTTATTAAAATTGGAGGAGCAATATTTGACAGTCTTTTGAACATTTAGAAAAATAGGGTTTATTGTGGCTAAGTCTAAAGGGTCTCATGGTTACAATTGACTGAAAAGGAAGGAATGCATTGCCTTCCAAGTGTGGTGACTTGTATGGGGCTGCAATACACAGCGACTTACATAACTGCTGTTCTTAAAAGGTCTATTAGGCATAAAAGTGTAAGTATCCCTATTGTTATTTACACCAGGAAAAAAAGCATAACTCAGGTCTTTGAGAATCCAGGAAAGCCTTGTTTTAGAGTATTGTCCCAGCAGAAAAGGGACAAGGAAATGTAGGCTTTTACTGAGTGCCTACAGGATGCCTCTCACAGAGGATGTAAATGATACCGTCCTTGGCCTTCAGGAGCCAGGTGTAGAAGGAAATCAATCAATCAGTGGTAACTGAGAGCCACTGACATGCTGCAATTCCAACATAAACCAAGTGCCATGAGAGCACAGAGGAGGGTACAGCTAATTGGGAATAATCAGAGAAGGCTTCAGGGCCTGGTTTCATCAACCAGGTCTCAAGGGATCAGTAAAAGTTGGACAAGAAGAGAACAAAGGTATTTCAGCCAGAGGGAAAAGCTTGTGAAACTTGTTCCTGACATACTGGAATGATCAGAATGGAGCTGATACATAGAGAAGTGGTGGGATTAGCACCAGGGTATGAAGACTCTAGTATGTTATGTGAAGGAGTTAGAGCTCTTGTTCTTTAAGCAGCAGGGAACTGCGAAGTGTGTAGGTTTTAATGGCCTGACCTCACACGTGTGACACAACTACCTCTGGTTCCCTAATTAAATAATTTGAGAAATACTCCATACTACATTTCTTTTTCATGATGACTATGTACATAGCTACACTGGAGGCTCTGAAATAATAAACTCATTTAACTGGTTTAACACAGGGTTAAACAGGATCAAATGTGCTCAAACATGGAACACTTTTTATCTCTTTATCTTTTAGTTTTTAGTAACATGTTTAGGACATCTAATATAGGGAAAAGAGGAAGAGGAAGAAACAGGTTTATAGGGAAATAAAGGAAGAAACTTGCTCACTAATCTATCAGTATTTGGCGGTAGGAGGTGGGAGGAGGAAGAGCCATTTCTTAAATCTAAAGACAGTTCTGTACTAGGAGTAAGGAAGTCTAAGTTCTTATTCTGCCTTTGCTGTTAATAAGCTGTGTGCCCTTGGCCAGTTCACTACTTTTTTGAGACTCATCTCTCAAGACACAGATAATACTACTTGACCACAGGTTAGCTGGATTCCATTTTAAGTGCTTTACATGCATTAGCTCATTAAATCCTCAAATCAAACCTAAAGTTAGATTTTCATTTCAAAGATAAGAAAACTGAAGAATTGGCTGGGCGAGGTGGCTCATGCCTATAATCCCAGCACTTTGGGAGGCCGAGGTGGGCAAATCATGAGGTCAAGAATTCAAGACCAGCCTGGCCAATATGATGAAACTTGGTCTCTAGTAAAAATACAAAAATTAGCCGGGCATAGTGATGCACACCTGTAGTCTCAGCTACTTGGGAGACTGAGGCAGGAGAATCACTTGAACCCAGGAGACAGAGGTTGCAGTGAGCTGAGATTGCGCCACTGCACTCTAGCCTGGGTGACAAAGTGAGACTCCATCTAAAAACTAAGAAACAAAAAAAAGTGAGGAATTCAGAGATTAAAGAAGTTTTCTGGACCATCCATCCCAGCTTCTATTAAATGGAGCTGCTGAGATGGATGGGAGATGGGACATTTTCAGTGAAAAGGAACAGGTAATCTTTAAGGAACCACGTGTATAATTTGGTACTGTCAACTTTAGGTAGTAAGATTCAGAAAATATGGTTAAGTATAGTCTATTTGAGCGCAAAGCTTGAGTATGGCCACCTGGGAGACACTGACTCCAAATGAATGGGGTCAGAGTTTCAAAGTAGAGAAGATAAGGTTTCACTAACATAGGCAGAGACAGAGAAGTTGTAACCGGATTACGACATTACCCATACAAGACCAGTGTATATGTTACAGTGATTTGATTGGTTACAGATTCCTACATTCTAAGGAAGATTACTCCATGAGGAGGGACAATAATCTGATAGGGTCTTATCTTTGGCGTCATTTGGTCTTAATTATGGGGGAATAATGGGGTCAGAAGTTGCAGCTGCATACCAAGTGACTCAGGCTGCATAGCCACATTCCTCTCAAGGTTCCAAATAATTTAAAGTTCCAACAGCTTTCAGTTTGAATTATTTAATTTCACAGTGTGGAGCGCACTTGGAAGTGTGGTAGGAGACAAGAATGGAAAATGTCTCTTTAGGCCATGCTGTAGAGACCTTTGAATGCTGTTTTATTTGCATTTTATTCTGCAGCTATTTGGGAGTCCTTATCACAGTTTTTAAATGAGGCCTTAGAAATGTTCTCATTCAATGTCGTACACAATTATTTTGTATTCCACTAAGCAGGGGAGTAAATGAAAGAGTGCTTGTAGACTTACTTGGACCTGAATTTATAGTCCGTCACTCTCTTGCATATACAAAAAAGAAAGTACAAATGAAACTTGGGTGAAGAATTTCTAAAACTTCTTCATAATCAGTTCTAGCTTTAAATCACTTTTTAATTCATTGTCCATATTTGCCTATATATATAACTGCCCTGCATGCCATCAAGAGTATTGATAGTGCAACATTTCTTAGAAATGATTCAACATTGTCTTCAAATTTTTCTTTCAAGTCACTGACACGTATTTTGCAAGTTTCAACTTTGGCACTTTCTTGGTCTTACTAGAAGATCTTAGCAAACAGTCTCACAACTACTGAAATTCATGTTTCTCCCTGAAATGGCTCTTGTTTTATTTGTTCAGGGTTGTATTTGTCCAGTCACAATGCCAGACCTGACAACCAAGTACACCCTTGTGCAGGCAATGACAACAGTGTCCTGACTGCAGCTTAACTGTAAGACACTATCAACAGTAAGAAACACTCTGATTTTGATGTTAAAATAGAATTGAATTTGAATTAATGAAATATAATACCCTGTTGAAAATCTTATGATGGTGAAGATATCAGGATGCATTTGCTCACTGTTGTCAGTCCAGCCAGTAGGAAATCTGTCTTGTCTATCAGTTGTGTGAGAAAACCCTTTCCTAAAGAGAAGCCTTACTTTTTTATTTCCCTGTTATTTTGAATTTATACTTACTAAGGAGGAAACCAAGGCAGGAAAGACAGCCAAGGACATTTTAATTGAGTCAAGAGAGACTTACTTTTAATCAAGTCTTGCGTGTTCTGGAAAGTGCCTTGAGATCTTTTAATAATCTTGCCAAATCAGCATTTCAATTTGGTACTCAGGATGAGTGATTAGAAGTCATTGACAAACTAGCTAGCTTCATTGTGGAGAATAGCTGAAGTCTCTGGAGAACCACAGTCTTAAATTAGACTGAAGAAGTGTGAGATCACAGCAGGAAGTAATGTGAACAGGAGGAGTTATTGATCAGATGGTTCAGAGAGCTAGATGATCTTAACTTGATTACTCCAATTTTCCTTGTATGTAACGAACACTTATTGATTGCTTCTCCTAAATTCATCTCCTTTCTCCTTCCTAGCAACACCTTAATTTCTGTTCAGACACGTGTGTGATTCTGGGGAAGCTGGCTTCATCTATCCTACGCTTCAGGTTTGGCAAGTCAGGACATTCCATTCCCTCAGCCACCATACTTATTTTGGACTGGGCATGTGATCTAAGCAGGTATAGTCTGAGTGTATTCTAGTTGGTATGGTGTGTGGATATAAGGCCTCTGTTTTGCCATATGATTTGGTTAAATATAAGAAGTGACTATGGGGCTCAGTGGCTTGTGGTGATAATCCCAAGTACTTGGGAGATGGAGGCAGAAGGATTGCTTGAGGCCAGGAATTGAAGACAAGCCTGAGCATCATGGTACGACCCCTGTCTCAAAGAAACAAAAAGTGGCTGTGAATCTTGTACTCTGATGCTAGGCTTCCAAAGAAGTTCAGACTATCACAGATAGGAAGTCAGGGTGAAGTGGGGAAGAGAACCAATGCCTTCACATCAGGGTTGCTGTGAGGATTGAATGGGATCTTGACTGTAAACCACCTTGCAGAAAAGTCTGACATAACATATAAATTCGTGTTTTAAGGACTTTTGGAATTGCTAATGACAAAAACCAACTCAAGTAAACTTAAGAAATAGAAATTTAATGGTATCATAATAAGGAAGCTCAGAAAATTGAAGAACATTTTATAGATACCAGGTGACTTGGCTGGGCGCGGTGGCTCACGCCTGTAATCCCAGCACTTTGGGAGGCCGAGGCAGGTGGATCACGAGGTCAAGAGATCGAGACCATCCTGGTTAACACGGTGACACCCCGTCTCTACTAAAAATACAAAACATTAGCTGGGCATGGTGGCGCGTGCCTGTAATCCCAGCTACTCAGGAGGCTGAGGCAGGGGAATTGCCTGAACCCAGGAGGCGGAGGTTGCGGTGAGCCGAGATCGCGCCATTGCACTCCAGCCTGGGTAACAAGAGCGAAACTCCGTCTCAAAAAAAAAAAAAAAAAAAAAAAAGATACCAGGTGACCTTGGGCACACAATCATATTTTGGTGTCCCAGGGGTGCTCATTGTGTCTCATGCTGCTTGTCTGTAGTTGGCTTTCTTTTCTCCTGCAGGTAAGCTGTCTATAAGTGATAAGAAAGGAGGTCACTGGCAACCCTCTGTCCTCTCATCTCCGTAATCCACAAGGCAAGGTCCTTACTTTTAGAATTCCAAATTTAAAAACCTGGGGAAGGATACTGACAGAAGGGGTCAAAATTCTACCCCTGGACTAAGCCATTATGGCCAGGGGATTGGAGAACTATGGTTGGTCAGACTAGAGCTACCTGTTACTCAACTGACACTCATGTGGTAGGTGTGGAGAGGGTTGGAGAGCCTCACTCAGAATCATGTTTGCATCTCATGAAGAGATGCTTGTTTTACTATCCAGCAGGAGAAAGGGAACCAGTGCTGGATAGTAAAACAAGTGTCCAGTTATTTGATACTTGTTTTTTGTCTGAAGCTGATTCATCCTCCTTATCTGTTTAATAGGGAATGGGGGGAGGAAAATAGGAAAGTAGGAGAGAGAGAGTGAAGTGTAAATTTTATTGTGTACTTAACTATGTAGTAAGTAAACTTTGCAGGTAGGAACCCATTTGCATCTCATTTAATCTTTACTTCCAGTACTCTGAGATAGATAATATTCCCATTGTCAGCCAGAAGCAAGCTCAAGCTAAGAAACTAGCCCAGGAACATAAACCTAAATGTTTTATGAGCCAGGAGCTAAAGCTAAGTCCACTTGTCTCCAAAGCATATTAGACTTTTCTGTTGTACCATGTTCTTCAAAATAAAGTGAGTTAAACTACCTGGTCAACATGCCAGTCCCCTATACTCCCTGCCTACACTCAGTGTTTGTGTCCCCCAAAAACCATATGTTGAAGTTCTAATCCCCAGTGGGATAGAATTTGGAGATGTGGCCTTTGGGAAAATTAGGTCATGAGAGTGGAACCCTCATGATGGGAATAGTATCTTTATAAGAAGTGAAAATACACACAAGAACTTGCATCCGCTCACCTTTTTCTGCCATGTGAGGACATGGCAAGAAGGTAGCCATATGTAAACCTGGAAGAGGGCTGCCTCCGGAAGTGTGAGGCTATCTCAGTTATATCCGTGTATTAGGCTGTTCTTGCATTGCTAGAAATAAATACTTGAGACTGGATAATTTAAAATGAGAATAGATTTAATCAGTTTACAGTTCTGAAGGCTTTACCAGAAGCATGGTGCTGGCATCTGCTCAGCTTCTGGTGAAGCCTCAGGGAGTTTTCAATCATGACAGAAGATGAAGGGGGAACAGGCACATCACATAGTGAAAGCAGGAGCGAGCACAAGACAGTCGGGGTGACAGGAGGTGCCACCCACTTTTAAATGGCCAGATCTCACAAGACTCACAGCACCAAGCCATGAGGGATCCATCCCATGATCCAAACACCCCTCCACCAGGCCCCACCTCCAGCACTGGGGATTACAGTTCAAAATGAGATTTGGGCAAGGACAAATCCAAATTATCAGTCTGTTGTTTAAGTCACCTAGTCTGTGGTAATTTGTTATAGCAGCCCAAGCTGACTAAGACACTTCTCTAGTCACAGTCTCAGTGCTCCCCCTCCAACTCTCCCTCATCATGAACCTAGATTAGAACTTGAAACCTAGGTTTTCCAGACTTATATGGTCATTCTTGCCTTAGCCCACAGTAAACAAAGGATGTATTCCCGATCTTTTAAACAGAACAGAATGTGTGAAAACACATTTTCAAGTTTCGCATATTCTGAACACAACTTTTTACTTAAAAGATGAAATAGCTGCAGCAAGAGCTGGCTGGTCTGTATTTGAATCCCATTACTTACTAACTAGGTAAGTATTCTGCGTCTCAGTTTTTTCATCCTTAAAGTGAGGCTAGTGATGGAACTTAGCTCATAGGGCTTGTGAGGATTGAGTGAGTTAATATATAAAGTACTTGGAACAGTATCTGGTACACAACAAGTACTGTCTCAGTGTTGGCTCTATTAGAAGTATTGTTATTCAATATTAGTGGGCTCTTATTAATGCCAAAACAGGCAGACTTTGCTTAAAGAATCTTCGTTTTGCTGCTTGGGTTCACATCTGAGAGAGAGCTGACTATAATCTAAGGCAGAAATAAGCTATTTGTAGTCCAGGAAGTTCTAAGGAAGAAACAGTCTGCCTGTCTATCTGGTCCTTTTAATACACATATGATTAACATTTCCCCCATATTTCCCCTCTAATTATGCTTATGTTCTGATCTTTTGAACATGCAAGTTTAAATAAACTTTCCTCTGTTAGACTATGGGAAACAGTTAAGTCTGGAATGCAGAGAGCTGCGGTATGCAAGGTACTGCAGATGATTTGGCAGAATGGTGATGTAAGGAATAGGATGGTCTGAGCACATCTGGAAGGCACCAGAAGCCAATGGAGAGTCTGTGTATGAAGGCTCTGAATGAAATGGAGTATAGTTTCCTCTGTGAGGAGCTAGGACAACATGGCCCCCAAGGAAAATCTGAAGAGCACTCTGTGACTCACTAATCAATGAGTCAAAGAGGGAAATGGGAGGCTATATCACTGACTACGTAAGCTTGACAAGTTTTGAGGTGGCCCAGTTCTGGGGCCTTTCTTTGCCTCTCTCTAGTTCAATTCAGATCCTAGAATGGGATCTGAAACTCAGTTGTAATGGATAAATCTCAAAATGTATCCATTTGCCTCTGTATCAGTGGTTATGTTGGGGACTATACCTCTAGATCGCTGATGTGTTTATGTATCTGTCTCTAATTTTACCATATATTTGCTGTGCCAATAAATGCCTTTTTAATGTTAAACATTTTACAACAAATACTTCCACCATGTCTTTGTCACTGAAAAGACATTTTATATCAGAAAGAGCCTTAGATTTTTCAAACTGTATCTGAATCAAAAACTACTTCAATTAAGCTGTGCCCAAACTGAAAAACAAACAAAACCCCACTTCAAAATGAAAGTGTGAATAGTTGTGGCCTTTGATTTAAAAAATCTCACAAGATAAACTGAGACTATTTGTAGTAGTCATAGTTTAATTCAAATACCCAAATATTAGCAGGACATGGTGGCATATATCTATAGTCCCAGCTACTTGGGAGGCTGAGGCAGGAGGAATGCTTGAGCCCAGGAGTTCTAGGCTACAGTGAACTATGATCGTGTCATTGCACTCCAGCATGGGTGACAGAGCAAGACCTTGCCTCTAAAGAAAATACAAAATAACCAAATACACAAAGATTGCAAAGTGTGCAGTTTGTGGGCTTCCCTTTGTTACCAATGTACCTGTGTGAAATAGAACTTTCATTACATGCTACAATTAAAACAATATTTCTGTAGACTTGATGCTGTTCTTGATTTCAAGATCCAATTTAGCAACAGCTTTCTGGCATTTGTTCCCCTCCCTACCCATCCACCTTGTTTTATGCATAGAATAAACCCTTAGCATGTTCTTAGTTCTTAGTTTCCTGGTGTCTAACTACCCATTAGAAGAATAAGGGGTCTTAACTTTTATATTTCTGTAAAGCTGTATCCATTATATTACTTACTACATTGTATTTTAGTTGTATATAATCTTTGTCCAACTCTAATAAAATAGGAAAACCTTAAAGATAGGGACATTATTATTTATCTTCGTATTTTTAGCATTCAGCATAATGCCCAGCATACAATAGACATTCTGCAAATAGTTAAATCATTTATACATTAAGAAATGGATGAATATAAGGTGTAACAACTTTACTAACTTGTTTAGTCAGTAGCAGAACTGGCACTAGGACTAGACCCCGGGACTTCAGGTTTTCCCTGGTGACACCCAAATCTTTCCATTATTGTAGGTGTTTGTTGACATGGACAGTAAGGTCCTATACAGACATAGTTTTATAGTGAGTTCAGAAATGGCTCAACAAAAGTGAAACCTGTGATAAATACCAGCTTATTTGCATTTCAGACCTTGGTCTTTGTGATTTTGTTTTTCTTAGAGGGTTGATGACAGGTCATGAGATTGGGGAGACACATACAGTAGTCAGCTGTATGGAAAATATTTATTGAGGAAATGGTATTTTCAGATTACAGAACTAAATTGGGATCAATTTGGACTTTTTCAGTTAAGCCAAGCTGTTAGAATGTGTGTCTAAAGTTGGCCTGCTTATCGTATGTGTAATATGGCGTTGATTCACTCAGACCCTCTGATTTGTCAAATCCTTGCCAAAAATGGGTCCCATAGAAGGCAACCTGGGATTAGAAGGCTTTTAAATGTAAAGTCTCAGGTTTCCAAGGTAAAACATTTTCACTTAGCAGAACTAATTCCTTTAACAAGCATGTGTTGATTCCAACTGTGTGTCAGGCACTGTGCTAGGCTGGGGCAACAAAGAAGAATAAAAAGAACCTCGTCTTAGAGGAGCTATTAAGTCGTGTCTCTCTCTAAATTGAACAACCACATAAGGAGGTAATTTCTGTAGAGGGGTTTGTGTGATCATCTAACAACAAAGGAGCTGGGAACCAAGATGGTCTGGTCAATAACAACAGTGACTACATTAATCCAGTAGCATGCCAGGTTCTATTCTCAGCAATCTACATGTATTACTAAGTATTTGTTTATATTTGGGGAAGTTTTCCTTGTTTTATCTCTACATTTAGAACCTTTGACCTTTTTTGTTTTGTGGGCTTGTCCTTTATTTGATTTAAAAAGTCATTATAGGGCCGGGCACAGTGGCTCAGGCCTGTAATTCCAACACTTTGGGAGGCTGAGGCGGGCCTGAGGTTGGGAGTTCAAGACCACCCTGACCAACATGGAGAAACTCTTTCTCTACTAAAAATACAAAATTAGCCAGGCACGGTGTTGCATGCCTCTAATCCCAGCTACTTGGGAGGCTGAGGCAGCAGAATTGCTTGAGCCCAGTAGGCGGAGGTTGTGGTGAGCCAAGATTGCGTCATTGCACTCCAGCCTGGGCAACAAGAACAAAACTCAGTCTCAAAAAAGAAAAGTCGTTATAATCACCTAGTAGCTTTAGATCTGACTCTCTATATAATATATATAACAGAGAAGAGTTGTTTGCCCTATAAACATGTACAATTATTATTTGTCAAAAGAGAAATGAGTTATTCATATTAACAGTCTTCCCTTTAGTTTCTCACTGACTCAGTGTATCTACCTATTCCCTTGTTACTATCTGCCCCTCAGGTAGTCTTCTCAATGGTGAGTCTTTCTAGGGTGGAAGGATTCTTTCTTACTGGGTCTTGTTCCAGGACTCTACTTCTTTCTAGTAACCTGAATGGAGCGAAAATGTAAAAATAGGGAAGACTTGCTGAATCTTCATAAGAAAGAATTTTTAAGATAAAAGGGAAAGGGGAGAACGCAAATTTGAAACTGGATTTGAAGGTTGGAGTGGGGTAGGTTGGTGAATGAGAGACCCTTGAGCAACTGTAGTATATGAGAGAATTGATGAGGAGGTAGCAAATGTGTTATGATTTTTATTTCTTCTTGTATCCATTGAGAAAAGTGTGTAAAGACTGGAATTACTCTTTTTTCACTTTTGATTGTTGGACTGTCTTTCTACCCAGGACATCCACTTAGATTGCTGAGGTTTATTCAGGTTATACATACCGTGCCTCTCTACTTTAACTGACTTTTTCTTTGCTTAGTAGTTTTTTGGCAAGTAGCTGATGAATGAGGAATTCTTAAATTCTTGTAAAGGGTTTTTCCTGAAAGAAAAGTTTTTTTAGACAAGGAGAGTGGGCCTAGGGAATAATACCAACCTTAGATACCCACCTTCAGGGGCTGGTCAAATGTATTTGGCACAATTATTGTTTACCATGTCATCAACCAAAACTTGGATGTCTTTCTTATTTACTGCCTTTGTTGTCGGAGCTATAATCCACATCGCTTCCAGAGGTCATGAAAACTCTTCCTCTCTCAACATCTCTAGTGGGTATCCTTGGCAGTCTAAAGCAGTCAGGAGGGTGAGAGCTCAGAGAGAGAGGCTAAGGTGAAAGCATTTTGTAAACTTACGGAGGATGGTATTTTGTACAAAGCCTGGCACAGAGCGGACATTCAGTAAAAGAGCATTGAATAAAAAGAAGAGGAAAAAAGCAGATACCTGTTACTCATAGCAGAAATCTCATCTCTCTTCTGCTTCCCCTACCTTGATCAGCCTTGGTCAGGATAAGAGTACCTTGTGACATAGATTGATACTGTATAAGTAATAGCTTATATTATTTAATCTCATTTCTTAAAATAGCCCTGCAAAATATAGTATGATTCTGATTTTATGTTTATGGGAATGAAAGTTTTAGAGGGTTTATGTCACTTGCCCAAATATTACCCTTGTAATAAGAGATGGAACTGGGATTGGAATGCAAATCTGTCTAGCTTCAAAAACTTTTTTTTTTCCCTACCTTTCTGGCCAGTACAGCTGCCAGACTATGTTTAGAAGTTTTGTGGGTCCTTCACGTGACTTTACTAATGGTCTTATGAAAAGCTGTCTTCCCTGAGTACTGGTGTTTGAAGTTATTGGTTCATTCAGCAAACATGTGCTTAGCCCCAGCTATGAGCACGAACTGTACTAGACACCAAAAAAAAATCCCATCCTCATGGAGCTCCCAGGGTGGTGAGTGATCATAAATATAAATAATATTGGGCAGAATGATGTTAGCGGTATAATGTGAGGTTGTCCTGGAGGAGCACTGAGGAGGATTGAATGAGGGAAGGAAAAGAATCAGCCTCTCTTATGTAAGAGGCAGCCCCATGTCTGTCAGAGCCTAACATCTCTTAGCCACCTTAGCTCGTTTAATATTCACTATGACCATATAGTATCCTGATTATATGGATGAGCAACGTACTTGGCATTTCACAACAAGGAACAGATGGATAGGATTTTCAAACTCAGAAATGTCTGGCTCCAAGTCCCTGCCCTTTTCATTAGACTACTATGTATAGATGGAGTACAGGTTTTTCCCAATATATGTTTTTTAAATACATCATGGTTAAAGTTCCATTCTATATGCAAGTGAATGTGTTGTGTAAGACTCAGTGTATCTACCGAGATTTCCTTGGTTCTGTCTGCGCCTCATAATCTGCTTGCTCAGTGGTGAGTCTTCACATGCTGCTTTTGCCAGGTTTTCTAACAGTGCTGGCTGTCTCATCTTCTCTCGGTGAGGACTGGGCTCTGGTTTGGTCTCTGTTATGTCCATTGTGAAGAGAACTACAGCAACTCATATGCCTAAGCCCCATTTGGCCAGACCCTCACCTCTTCTGCCACTTTCAGGTTCAAACATGGGGTATGTTCTTCCCCAGTGACTATCCAGAGTGGATGGGTAACCACAGCCTGGAAGTAGGGAGTGAGGGAAGTTGACATCTCTGACCAGTGCAGTTGGAGAAGGGAAGGAGCCAGCAGATAAATTGCTTCCTGTTTGCCTTTCCCCTCCACTTACCCCTTACACATGCACACACACACATGCACACGCACACGCACACGCAATATTCTAAGTTATAGTAGTTCTATACAACCCATCCTGTAACCTTCTGAATGAGCAATTATGTGTTTTCATGTTAAGCTATAGCTGGTTTGTTGATGCATATAACCTTAGGTTTCCTTTTCCTTCTATCCTTTCCTACCAATCTTTCCCCACTCTCTGCTCTGAGATTGTAACACCTGATAAACAGGTAAGCTTTCCCCTAAACTGTTTTTTAGAGAACTTGGGCACAGTATTATTATTATATATTATTTAAAAAACAAATATCTTTGCCATCACAGACCCTTGCCCTTTTTACCCTGTTTTATACCTTGTTATTTTTCATTTAGCATAAATTAGTTAAATTTGAATACTTACATGTCAGACACTGTTCTACATCCTATGATTAATGTGCACCAAAATCCTCTGAGATACAGTAAACCATGGGTATAGTTCCATGTCTGCATATATCGGTCAATT